TGGGCCAGTTACGAGGTGGGCCAATTACAAAGTGAGCAGCAGGAAAGGTGGGCCAGTTACAAAATGGGTCAGCAGGAAAGGTGGGTCAGTTACGAAGTGGGCAGCAGGAAAGGTGGGCCAGTTACAAAGTGGGCCAGCAGGAAAGGTGGGCCAGTTACGAAGTGGGCAGCAGGAAAGGTGGGCCAGTTACGAAGTGGGCAGCAGGAAAGGTGGGTCAGTTATGAAGTGGGCCAGCAGGAAAGGTGGGCCAGTTACGAAGTGGGCAGCAGGAAAGGTGGGCCAGTTACGAGGTGGGCCAGTTACGAAGTGGGCCAGCAGGAAAGGTGGGCCAGTTACGAAGTGGGCCAGCAGGAAAGGTGGGTCAGTTACGAAGTGGGCAGCAGGAAAGGTGGGCCAGCAGGAAAGGTGGGCCAGTTACGAAGTGGGCCAGCAGGAAAGGTGGGCCAGTTACAAAGTGGGCAGCAGGAAAGGTGGGCCAGTTACGAGGTGGGCCAGTTACAAAGTGGGCCAGCAGGAAAGGTGGGCCAGTTACGAAGTGGGCCAGCAGGAAAGGTGGGCCAGTTACAAAGTGGGCAGCAGGAATGGTGGGCCAGCAGGAAAGGTGGACCAGTTACAAAGTGTGCCAGATACTATTTTAACAATCATTAAAACCACTCTATAAACTTTCTAATAACTTTGAAATTATCCCATGATATCAGTTGTGAATTCTAGTACTCGGAAATAGTGGTTTTGTCGATGTTTTGAGGGGATGATGCAACGCCATATACGTGACTCAATTTGACGGGCGTTAGTTTCGAGGTAGTGTGTTGCTATTTCCCATGCTATTTCCATACCGTACTAGTCGAAATACATGTTCACTAAAATTCAAACCAACATGCTTTGTTTGATGAGTTTCATTTCATGAAATGCTTGATGAGTAGGCTTATGCATATGCATATGAACACATATCGAATGTATTATATACCAGGGCTGAATTGTCCAGACACCCTTTCGAGGTGCATTGTTGTCCCTGTGAATCAAATTGTGTAGTCCAGTATTGAATGATAGGCAAAACTAGTAAACAACATGGCGGACTCAACTCGCCTGAACGTTCGGGCGTCGATCATGAAAATAGTGAATAGCTGTCAGAATTTGCTACTTTACGTACGTGGATTGCTGGCTTTGACCCACGCATCAGTTATTCCTTTCTGATTGTCTCCGGTAATTAGTACAACCTGTTTATTGACAGTACGAAGAAATTACAGCAGCAAAGTTAGCACCGCTAGCATATTTAACAAGCAGCCTATCGGCTGAGATAGCTCCGCTGTTAGCAATGCACATTTCAATTAAAGAACTGAAGACATCATTAGAAAATGAACAATATGTATAGTATCAAAGCAATCGGTTATTAACAAGAAGTCGAAAATATCACTTTTTACCAAAAATGACAAAAATATTCACCAAAATTAGAGAATTGAAGATATCATCACGAAATGAACAAATCTGAGAAAGGTCTACATGTAGTATCTATATATGTAATATCAAAGCAATTGAACTTTTGGTTTTTAACAAGAAGTCGAAAATATCACTTTTTACCAAAAATGACAAAAATATTCACCAAAATTAGAGAATTGAAGATATCATCACAAAATGAACAAATCTGAGAGAGGTCCACATGTAGTACCTATATATGTAATATCAAAGCAATTGCACTTGCGGTTTTTTAAAAGAAATTGAAAATATCACTTTTTACCAAAAATGACAAAAATATTCACCAAAATTAGAGAATTGAAGATATCAACATGAAATGAACAAACCTAAGAGAGGTCTACCCAAGGTACATATACACCAAGTATCAAAGCATTCAGGCTTGTAGTTTTCAAGAAGAAGTTGAAAAAGTAAAACATTGACACGGACGACGCCGGACAATCACTCATATGATAAGCTCCGCTCGATAAAGTCGACAGCGGGGCTAATAAAGCTTTCTTAGCATGCAGAATGTACATACACACACACATATATATTTATATATAAATTGTATGGATTAACATATTTGTGGTGCCTCGATATCCGGTGTGGGATCTTCACATTTCATGGCGACGACACGTTGGTTCAAAAAACTTGACTAAAAATCATATAATGAAGTCACAGTCAGCTGGCATCGGTGTCGCTGGGTGTATATAATAGAGGGAAGTTGCGCAACCAAATTTGCCGAGTTTACAGTTTTTCGCTGATAAGAAAAAAAATAAGGCAAAAACTCACGGTTTTTCAGAATTTTTGTAATAAAGACATTATTCTCTATCAATAATCTGCCCAAAACAGGAATATTTCTACTAATTCTTGTGTTTTTTCGACGTTTTTTGAAAAACCTGTGATTAGGCTTGCGAAAGTAACAGTTGTTACATTCCGGAAGGGGTGAAACGGAAGAGCATCACCAGGCAATGGACGCGGGGCTCTTTGGCAACGCCCGCAAACGTATCGTGTCCAGTCATTGGTTGGCCACATAGAGGTCAAAATACGTATTCTATTTTTATGCGTTAAATGTTTTGGGTGGATTATTGATAGAGTTTTTGCCTTAGTTATATTTTTATCGGCGAAAAACTGCGAACTCAGCAAATTTGGTTGCACAACTTCCCTTAGCCAGGGACGTGTTTGGTTGATAGATGTACAGGGACGTGTTCGGTTGATAGATGTCCCCACCACAGCCCTGCGTACCTCCATAGACAATGTCCGGGACTTTGAAAAATATAAATTTGTTAATGAAATAACATGCCCAGGTGCCAAAAATGATGAACGATCACCAGATACAAAAATGTATATCCAAAACTCCCCAGTTCGGAGTCCAATTGTGGATGAAATCGTATACTTTGCC